GCTTTTGTGTATATGTTAATCAGTAGCTCGGGAAATTCAGTTAAGTCATGGCATGATTAGGCCCCATTCACAATGAGAACCCTGGCTCAGAGCAGTGAGGTAATTCGTCAGGTTCACCCATAAATGCTGGTGGCAAAATCAGCGCCATGACCCAGGCAGTCCGAGCCCAGGGCCGTGTGATGCAGATGCAGTGCGTGGACTTCTGTGATTACCTTGTTTGGCTAAGATGTCTAAAGAATAAAATACCTAAGATGTTGGGGTAAAGTATTTAGGGTTTGTAATGAAAATGCTCCCCCTCTCATTCCTTCCTGGTGCCTCCGACACAAATGAAGTCTTTTTGAGGCTTACCTCATTCTGTGGTTGAAATTCTCTTACTTTTTCTAGTTCTAGCCTGACCTTAAACCTGAGACTTCCCTAATCTTGATGTAATGTCATTCATCTCCAGTTACCAGGCAACTCGGCCTCCTCTTCCCACAGCTGGGTTATATCCCACTATTACCAGCAAGGGTTAGTGCTATGAGCGCTTTACATGTCTGCTCATTTAATTGTAGAAGGACCCACTGAGGCTGTTACTATTTTTACTTACACTGTTATTATTCCCTTGTGATAGGTAAGAAGGTGAGGCTCGCCAAGAGCCATGAGAACTGTTGTTCAACGTCACACACGTAATTGAGGAAGCAGGAGCGTGGCTTCTCTTAGCCACTACTTGCTTCAGTCTCATAAGAAGTCACCATAAAATGTTTCTTCGGTAGGATGACACGATGAAAACAGCATTTAAGAACAGTATTCTGGTAACAGTAAGAAGGCTAAACCTTAGTGCAGTGAGACAGCGAGACCACCTTGTATCATTCTGCAACCGTCTGGGGTACTATGAGGGTCTGAACCAGTGATGAAAAGACAGAGATAGGCATCGAGACGAAAAGGAACAAGTCCAGGAAACCACAAAGCCCTAACTGTCAGCATCTAAAACTGCTGGGATAGATGAACAGCCAAGAGGAATCAGCCAGAAGCTGGAAAGGAGGATGGAGGCCTCAGTAACCATGGAGCTCTCAGTAGCGATACTGGAGAGCTGTGAATTCATAGTCATGCACGTCCTCTGGATTTAGCCTGGTGCTTTATAACACCAATGGGTTGTTAGTGAGGCTGAAACCAAGGCCTCTAGGGCCCAGGACAGCAACAGCTGAATGACCCTATCCAGCATCCCCAAAGAGGAAGGTCCCCAGCACCAACCTTAGGTAAACTGAGCTAATAAAGTCTATCCCAGGTATCTACCTTCTTTAATCCCAGCACTCAGGAGACAGAGGCAGGCGGATTTCTGTGAGTTCGGCCTTGGAAAAATGGAAGGTGGGGAATACTCATGCTTAAAACAGACTTGGGTTTTCTTGAGACAGGGTTTCTCTGTGTAATAGTCTTGGCTGTTTTGAAACTAACTCTGTAGTCAAGGTTGAACCTGAACTCACAGAGATCTGCCTGCCTTTTGTGCCTCCTGAGTGCTGGGATTAAAGGCAAGTGCCACCACTGCCTGGCTTTTAAAACAGATTCTTAAGGTAAGCTAAATATTTGCTGTAGAAGAAGAATCAATTTTATGGTACATATGAAATGGTCAAGAAAACCCATAGAATCAGGTAACTTGGGCTTGCAGGGGCTCACAGAGTCTGAACTGCCAACCAGAGAGCTTGCATGGGGCTGACCTAGGCCCTCCACACATATTACAGTTGTATAGCTTGGTCTTCTTGTGGGGTTCCTAACAGTGTTATTTGCTTTTGGGGTCCCTTTCCTCCTACTGGATTGCATTACCCAGCCTTAATAGGAGGGGAGGTGCCTAGTCTGATGGCAACCTGACAGGCCATGGCTGGATGATGTACATGGGGGACTGCCTTTCCTGAAGAAAAGGGAGAAGGAGTGGATAAGAGGGGCAAGAGAAGAGGGGAGGTTGGGGAGGGACTGGGAGGAGAGGAAGAAGGCGGGAGAATGTGATTGGGCTGGGGAAAATTATTAACTAATAAAAAAGTTATTTTGTTTATCTGTCTTTTCTGCTGTTGGAGACGGATGAGGAAGTACTGAAGGAAGGGCCATACCAGTGCTCGTGGTTTTTCCTTCCCTTCTCCAAACTTAGTCTGGCTTGGAGTCGGTCTCTCCTAGAGTATTTGAGGGATCACTGCAGACAGGTTGGAGGGAACGGTGAGTTCCTACAGTTTTGGATCCACACGAGAAGCAAGACACATGGCAATGCTCTGCATGTTACCCATCATTGTCAAACAGCAAAGGCACTGTCACCAGCAGCTGCCAAGCTTCCAGTGGAAGGGACGGCAGGGCCAGCTGGGAAACTTGCATTGCACATCCTGGTTAGCATCTGTGCACTTCCTGTAAGCAGAGAGTACATCCTCGTGAGGCATCTGTGCACTCCCTGTAAGCAGAGAGTACATCCTAGTAGGCATCTGTGCACTTCCTGTAAGCTGTGCACATCCCAGTGTGGCATCTGTGCACTTCCTGTAAGCTGTGCACATCCCGGTGTGGCATCTGTGCACTTCCTGTAAGCTGTGCACATCCCGGTGTGGCATCTGTGCACTTCCTGTAAGCTGTGCACATCCCGGTGTGGCATCTGTGCACTTCCTGTAAGCTGTGCACATCCCGGTGTGGCATCTGTACACTTTCTGTAAGCTGTGCACATCCCGGTGTGGCATCTGTGAACTCCCTGTAAGCAGAGAGTACATCCTGGTGTGGCATCTGTGCACTTCCTGTAAGCTGTGCACATCCCGGTGTGGCATCTGTGCACTCTCTGTAAGCCATCTCTATTTTGACAAGGCTAGAGACTTGGAGGTTTGAAATTCACGCTCTACTCAAACACAATGCTGGCACAAGTGTAACCATTTTGTAACATAGTTGCAGGGTGTGTCCACACTTACAAGAATTAGGCTGATATTTCATAAAATGGATTAGTAGAGAATAAAGGGGTATTAGACAAAATATGCTCTGCTACCTCAGCCTCACTGTGCCAGTGAGGAAACACGGAACATCTGCACTAAAAATCTCTCCATTCGGTGTCTTCTGAAACACTTCCAGCCTATTTTTGGATGGTTGTTGCTGTTAAAGTGACACAGGATGTGCTGTTCATGGGCTTAAAGAAAAAGCACCAGTGGATGCTCCTTCCACATTCTCTTCCATGTAAGTGAGGTTTTTCACTTGTCTCATGCAGACGGCCACCAACACACTTTCATGCCCCGTCTATGCCCATCAATAAAAATCCTCATTTTTACATTTGGTTGTAATTTGGTTACATTTTCCCATAGCCAACGACTAAATGATAATGACATTTGTTCCTCAAAATCATTTGTACGTAAGGCAGATCAGAGAAGATGATTTGCTCAGCTGGACAATAAGAAGGTGTCAATCCACTTTTTGTTTGAACAACTGAAACGCTAGCCTAATTTCAGCCGGCATAACCACTGTGTTTAATAGGAAAATGCATTATGGTTTTCTGATTGGGACACTAGAAACTTCCCTGATTTGGCAGTGATTCCCTGGAGTTGGGGTTGGAGGCATTAACAAGGGTGTGGAGGAAAGAGCCAGAGCCGTCCTTCTGCAGCACACTTGCAACTTGGGGTTCAGTAGGACTCTTCCATTAGCCATGTCTCATTGTACAAGAAACTTACACGTCTTTGCGCATCCTGTTTTCATTCTTACGTCTCTCTCGGAAATCAGATCCCTCTCCTTCTAAAGACCAACACATCTTCCTCCAGAAACCTCCCTTTACTTGATCTTTACCTACCCTCACTTTACTTGATCACTTTAGGACTTTAACTCTTTCAATCCCAGTGTGTTGTTTGTACTAGTACTGTGCTCAGAGGGGGAAGCCACACTTCAGTTTCTTCATTTAATATTAAGGAAGGGTCTGAATTTCTTTCTCCCAGAACTTCAGTTTCAAATCCATTTCATCCAGAAGACACTTGAAGACATACAAGATGACAGACTCTGCCCAGTGGTTACTAGCCAATTCACTTCCACTTCCGAGATAAACTTCACTCCTGTCTGCTTGGCTAGATCTTACTGTGAACCACAGCCTGGTATCTTGCCTCACTTCTGAGTGCTGGGTTATAGGCATCTCCCACTAAGCCTGGCTGCCCCCAGAAAGAGATTTGAGAAATATATAAAGGGTCCATGTGCATTAATTATTGAATCAAGAGAGTTGTCATAAAATTATAGCCATTAGAGACAGGTAAAAATGTGTTCTACACCTTAGCGACAAGGAAAATGCAGATCAAAACCACTTTAAGATTCCACCTCGGCTCGTCAGAATGGACATCATCAGAAGTCTAAACATCAAATGCTAGAATAGATGTGGGGGAGAGAGCCCTTGCATGCTGTTGGTAGGAGTGTCAACTAGTGCAGCCTCTATGGACATCAGTCTGGAGCTGAACTACTATGCTTCATTTCTGGGCATATACCTGGAGGATTTTATACTGCACGACGAGACACATGATCATCTACGCTCATGGCTAGATAGCTGTTTACAATAGCTAGGAAATGGAATCAAAGCAGATGTCCATCAACTGATGAAGAGATGAAAATGTGGTGTATATGAGATGTATAAACAATGAAATTATTACTCAGCTGTGAAGAAGCTAGGAAACATGAAGGTATCACATGAAGGGCCTCTAGCCCACTTCCTGGCAGCACCTCTTGTTCTGCTCTGAACAATCATGGATTCACGACTGCATCTCTAGTGGCATTGTGCCCGTCCCTCCAGAACAGTCCACTCAGCCCTGATGGCAGCACTGAAGGATTTCTCTACCCTAAATTCCAGATTCTTCCACCATTCCTATAAGCTCGTTTCAAAGGCCTAAGAAGCACGTGGTCAGGTGTATCACGGCAGCTGCCTTGCTTCCTGGTATTGACTCTCTGTCACAGTTTTTTTTTGTTGTTGTTGTTGTTGCTGCAACAAACACCTGGCTCAGGCAACTTGTGTTTTTGTTTGTGTAAGGTTTTGGTTTTGCTTACAGCTTGGGGGTGCGGTCCATCACGGAGAGGACGGCATGGCAGCAGGGTCTCACTGCATCCCTACTCAGGAAGCAGAGACTGAGGAGAGCAGATGCTCGGCATGCATCCTAGAAGCTCCAGCCTACATCTGAGGTGAGTCTACCTGCTTCAGCTAGCCCAGCCTACAAACCCTCTCAGACATTCCCAGAGCTTTACATACAAGGTGTCTCTAGATTCTAAGTTATCGGGATAAGCCACCATAGTATCCGAATAAATTCTTTAGCAGAATATCATTATCTCTCTCCACAAATTAGATTCTGCAAGTGTCTAAAGAAGCCTGGCATTTAGTGATGCCCAGAGATAAGATCTGGTACCCTGCAGAATTTAACTGATCAGAATAAATTTGTAGCATTTGTTCAGCAGTTAACAAGGGCTGGCAATGTGGCTCAATTCCAGAGCACCTACCAACCACGCAAAAAGCTCTCCGTTCAATACCTACCACCCAAGAAAATGATAAATAAAAACAAAACAGAATGGATGATCATGTTCCATAGAACAGCCCTATGTCTGTGTAAGGCACCCTACAAGACTGATGGCCTGATTAAAACTTTACTGACATGGGAAATAGGATGTTACAGGTCCAAAGCCATGTTACCGCAGGCTGTGTTTAGCCTCCCCAACAGTCACTATTGCATACTTCTGTGTTTGACCCAGCATCCCTACGGACTATCAGGTAAATGCTTTTTGTAATGTGCAAAAAGACCTCCTAACTTCCACCAACCCGACTGAAAGACTAATAATGTTGTCAGGTCACACCTGAGGCCTATAACAGAGACTTCTCTGTGACACACCTACCCGCCCACCTGATGTTTTCACCAATGTATTTTAATGTGCTCTGATTTGTAGCTCTTTGTTCTGTTAGTATAAAAACGACTGAGATGGCTCAGTCGATAAAGTGCTTGCCTTGCAAGCATGAGGACACAAGTTTGATTCCCAGAACCCAAGTTAAAAAAAAAAAAGAAAAAGAAAGAAACTAACGTGGTGATACATGCTTGTATTGAGCCAGCCAGACTAGTCTACTTGGCAAATTCTATCCAAGTAAGAGATCTATCTCTAGAAAAAAAAGGGGGGGGGGATTAGATTGTGCCTGGGAACACCTGAGTTTTCCCTCTGACCTCTATATACAAGCACACAATGTGAACATGCTCACATAAATACAAACATACATGTGAATGCACACACAAACACATGCATGAACCTGCTACCGTAGTATCTGAGATAGACTGAACTTCTTTCTAGGTCCAAGTAACTCATATTTTGCTCTTGAATAAACTTCTTCCTATTCCCTTAGAGATAAATACAGTGTTTTAATGTTAACAAGTACTAACAGGCACCAGGCTCTCTTCAAGGCCTTTGGGAACCATGAGTGAGTAAACCAGACATTTCAGTTGGATATATTTAAATAATAATCATGACAGTTCTCTATCTTAATCCATAAAAGATGAAAATTGAAAAAGAAAAATTTACATTCGAGACTCCCAGAGGAAAAGCTGAAGGGGGAAAAACAACAAACAAGAGAGGGTCCAGGAGACTTCTGGTGTGGGTGAGAAGTGAACCACGAGACCCTGAAAGAGGAGCCAGAGCTCCTCAGACCAAGAAGTGGGGGAAGGGAGCAAGGGCCCAACAGCCCCTGTGCTAGACAACACTCATTCTCTAAGCAAATGCTCTCTCTTCACAGAGATATACTCTAGACAGAAGAGAGGGAAACCTGAATGCCACAGCTCTCCAGCCTTCTTTCTGGCCACTGGAATGACAAGTTTTAACTCTGGGAGAGATTTGTCTTCAAGATCTTACCTCTCAGTTATACACAGGTAGACATGCTTAAGTCAAGCGGCAAAACCCAAAAGGGACAAACCCAGACTCAGAGGCCAAACAGGAAGACTCCATCTTTGTTCTGCTGCTAAAGTTTAGGGGGTCTTGGGCAGGCCACTCAACATCTGGAAACATGGGTTTCTCTTATACCCAGAAATTCCTGGACTGCTGACTGGGTTAGTTCAGTTCGTTCTCTCTCTTAAGCTCTCTCTGTCCCTCTCCTCTGTGTTCTACCCTCTCCCCTTCTGCTTCGCAGTGCACACTTATGTATAATATGATCTGTAAGATGATGTGTGGCTGAGAGTATATCCGAGGATGTGGAAAGATGTGAGCCTTGTTACAGGAAATGTTTGTTTCGGGGAGACAAAGTAGATGTAGGAGGCAGTAAACTGGGCCTTGTGTGTCTTCTTTCGTGCACTTCTGCGAAGTCAATGTTTTTCTGTATACCCCTATTCGTTCATAAGGAACAGACCAAGAACTAACACGTCTACCACAGCGTGTGAACCAGGCTGGAAACGATGACTCCTAAGTGTTTATGGAGAAGTGTTTATTAATTCTCCTGAGCCTTTTAATGCTGGAGAAACAAAATAAGAAACAGAATGTTGAGAAGGGGGATGGAGATATGACTGAGAATACAACATGGACCTTCAGAAGTGTTTGTAAATTTCAATCCCTTATATATATGTTAAATACTTGAGTACTTATGCTACCAGTTTTCTTAAATCTCTCTCTCTCTTTCTGTCTCCTTCCCTCCTTCCCTTCTTCCCTCTTTTTCCCTCTCCCTTCTACTCTCATTCCTACCAATATTTGATATATCTCCTAATAAAACCAGGAAAAGCTGGGCAGTATTCACTCGTACATCTTAACCTTATTTCTTTCTCTAGGTAGATTTTCACTGAGTCAAGCGCTCATGTTCTTGGTCATACCTTTTCTGCTCCTGGACAGCTTTCTGGGCAATCTCTCTTTCTTCTTCCCTGGCTTTCTTCACTGCCTCTAACTTCTCTCTGTGGCACTCCATCATAATCCTCTGGATCCTATGGACCATGCGTTGTTCTGCGGCGGAGTGCTCTCTCTTCAGCTCCTCATCCATGTTTTGAATCATCTCCTTCTTGGTTTTTGCTTCCACAGCCTTAAAGAAAAGGAATGGAAAATTTGACATCGATATTACAGGGTCGATGACTTAAAATGAATACTGGAGGCTAGACCCATTGAAGTTTCGTTTATCTGATAAAACAGAACCTGTTAAACAGGTGATTTAAAAGTAGCTGTGAGCCGGGCGGTGGTGGCGCACGTCTTTAATCCCAGCACTCAGGAGGCAGAGGCAGGAGGATCTCTGTGAGTTCGAGGCCAGCCTGGTCTACAAGAGCTAGTTCCAGGACAGGCACCAAAAGCTACAGAGAAACCCTGTCTGGAAAATCAAAAAAAAAAAAAAAAAAAAAAGGTAGCTGTGAATTCTATGAAAATTTTTCATTTACATAAAATATTCAAACTGTATGTATTCATATATGTTTATGAAAGATCACATTGAAAGGTTGTATGCAAAATGCAAACAGGTTAGAGGGGTGTGGTTAAAGTTTTTCAGCCACTTTTCTTTTTCAGTGCTGGCTACAGCTGGGGTTTCACAGACGCTAGGCTATCACTGGGCTCCAGCTCCAGCTTGTGATTTTATTGATTGTCGCAGTCTCATGACACATGGAAATATGTGATATTGGAAAATGGCATAAATAAACACCATGACGGGAGCCCGAGGCTCAGGCAGGAAACAGGCACATCACACAGTCACAGGAGCCTGCCTTCCAGTCCCCTCTGCCGCTCCACATCCCCCATCAGTCTAGGGTTGCTACCCTTCCTCCTTCATGGAGGCCACAGGCGCTCCATGGTTCTACGGTAGGGGGACCTGTGGAGTATTTTCAACCAACTAGAGAAAGATCAATAGTCAAAGCGTTATTTGTGGAGAAGTCTCACAAAAGGACCTGACAGGAAAACCTTTCAGCATTTTGGAAATGCCTACTAACTCCATGGGGTGCCGGCACTCTGCTGGGGCCAAGCAGGGAATACCCTAGGGCGAGGCAGGAAGTATGGAGCAGAGCTCCCTTTCCTATTGGTCATCTGAGTAGAAGGACAGTCCGTTGGACCTTATTTGGTACACAACTAGTATACGCTAAGTGCTCCTTGGAGAAGCAATGAATGCGTGGCCATCTCCTCGGCCGCTCATCCATCATATCATTAGGCTCCCTGTCACTGTCCTGCAGCCTCTGCCCACGTATCGCACACACGTGGTCCTCCTCCGTCTCCTCCTTGGCAAATGTGAAGGAAGTTCTGTATTCCGGTCCTTTGAACAGGTTTTGGGACAGAGATATAGAACTAAGCAGTGAATCCCTCTGCTGGGAACGCTGATGAGCTTACAAGCTAGGAAGCTCCTCTTAGCCAGCCTCACCATCTAACCACAGAAAAACGGATAAGGAAAATGTGGTACGCATACACAGTGGAGTTGGTTGTTGACTTTTTTCCTTCAGGAAAATGGATGCAACTAAAGGTAATTATGAATTAAGCCGGTCTCAGAAAGAAATCTCATGCTTCTTCTCATATGTGGTTCCTAGATTTTATGTTGATATGTAAAATCATGTATGGATATATGATATAAAAGTGGAAATAAAACTGCCCAGAGAAATAAAAGCAACTATTAGGCAGACTGAAAATGGGCAAGGAAGGTCTGAGGTGACAGTCCCAACATACAATATATACTTGGAAGTATACATATGATATATATATATATATATATCTTATATTGTACATTGTCATGTACAATGAATACATATCACAGTGAAAATTTAAAACAACAAAAAAAGAGGTCCTCTTATCTTGTGACCATTGGTCTACTAGGATTACTTCAGGGACAGCAAATATGTCTCTCTTGGCAGTTCAGAAAAAGCAAATTTAGGGAAAAAGATGTAAGCAGGAAGCCCAGAAGAAGGGAAGCGACAGCTTGCTAAGTCCCAGCACAGGACTGGATACCACGGCTTGCATAACGACAAGACAGACTGCCCATATGTAGGTTGCGGCCATGCCAGGGAACCAAATGCTAAACAGCTAGTTACATAAAACAGCGAGTTATTTCATTACAATGGTGATCCGGGCTATGAAAGGGCTATGACAGAACCTTATGTCTTGTGGATCACCAGGTTCCCTCCCAACCTTTACGAAGACTAATCTGAACTTTACTAATTACTGCTCCACCTCTTCACCCCTGTCAACTAACAGATGCACCTTTTATCAAAGGCTTCGAAAAAGACAATGAGCAAATTATTGCATACGAAACCTTTAAGTCTCTTTGGTGTTGTTCTTCCAGTAACTGGATTTCAAACTTGTGTCTGGCGTGTGCGTCCAGGAGTGCCTTCTCCACTGCCTGTTGCTGGAGTTCTTTAGCCTTTGAAAGAAAAGGTTCATTTATCCATTATTATTTCAGGGAAGACACAGAGAAGCTGCTCAAGAAGTTGGCAAGTTAGGTGTCCGTGCTCAATGAAAAGTAGCAACCACCATGGGGTCCCTAATTACACTGTTCTTACTCCTACATCCCACAGAGACCTGGTTGCCTTAGCTAGACGCACATAACACACTGAGCCCTGGGTGACCTCTGCTGTCTTTTGAATTATTAAAGGTGGGGCAGCTGCACGTGTGTGTGTGAGTGTGTGTGTGTGTGTGTGGTGAATATACATATGTATATGAATATATGTATATGTATGCGAGTATGCGGTTGAGCATGTTAACCTAGGAAACACAAGGAAAGGAGCAGACACACGAAGCTAAAAGGCTCTAAGCAGAGAGCATGAATACCATCGAGACCTCCACATCAGGAGTTAGGAAAGAATTTATCTTAGATTATTTGAAGAAAGTACTCAGATACTAGCTAAAACTTAGATTCAAACTGTAGACTGTTCATAAAAGTGTTTCTTTCTATCGGGACACATAAGTAACTGGTGGTTCTTATGGTCTGATTTTTACAACTACTAGATTCTTAGTGTTATACCTTATCTAGCCCAGAAGAACTTTAATTCTCTTCAGAAAGCCATCTATCTCAATTCATCTATGACTGGAAGAACTGAGGTGGTGGGTTTGAGGCTTCTCTAACCATGAGTAAAGTAGTTCTTCCTCCAGTCTTCAAATGATCCCATGGCCCTAAGCAGCCATGCATACAATGCATCAGGATTGGGGCTTTTGTTTTATTTGCTTGTTTAATTCACATGGGCTCCTTCTTAGATTTTCCAGGCCAACCATGGTCTTGCCAGCCTCCTCCTGCCCCAGCCTCCTGTGTAGCTGAGTCTGTAGGAATGCACCCTGGTGACTAGAAGCACCAAAGACTTTAGAGGCAGTAGATAGGGAGAGTCCACCAAGATAAGGCATTCGGGGAAATGGGCAATAAGTTAGAAGTATTTATTACATACTGCACAGATGGATAGCCCCATACATGAGTAGAAGACCATAGCGAACAATTTACAATGAAGTTGGCCCTATTCTGTTAAAGTTTCAGTCAAACAAGAATAAGTGGCTGGAGGCCATCCTACAGGGGCTATACTGCCCAAACCGCCTCTCTATTTCTATCCCATTCAGCTTACATCCAGATCCCCACACCCCCTGTCTCCCTCCCTCTCTCCCTCCTTTGGGGCATAGCGCCTCCCTGCCCAGCCTGCTAGGACGCTGGGACCGAACCGGGAGGACAAAGGGGTGGCCGGTAGCTCCTTTGTTCCCATAGCCTGCCCGCAGCAAGCGGGGTGGGCCCTTTGTTCGCGAGCTAACCAGGCAGCGCGGAGTTTCGATCTGGGCACCGAGTGAAACATCATTGTGGAGAAACATCTCTGGGGAGTGACATCACTGGGAAGGTACATCAGTGGGCAAGAAGACCTGATCCTGTAAAAGAAGATCCAAAAGGGAGTATTGGGAGGAAGAGATGGGAAGACGTCAATGCAGGAATTCTCCCAACAATCTGAAAAACAACACGAAACCACCAGAAGCCAGTGACCCCACAACAGGAGGACATGAACACCTTAATCAAGAAGAAGTAGAAAAAACTGACTTCATGAAAGTGATTGACACCCTTAAACAGCATATAAAAAAACGCCCTTATGGAAATGGATGAGAAGTATAATAGAAAGTTCGAGGAATTGAGTAAATCAGTGAATGATACCCTAGGAAACCAAGGAAAAACAATCAAGCAGATAAAGGAAACAGTTCATGACTTGAAAACTGAAATGGAGGCAAAGAAGAAAACACAAACAGAGGGCTGGCTGGACATGGAAAATCTAGGTAAACGAATAGAGACTACAGAATCAAGTATAACCAGCAGAATACAAGAGATAGAAGAAAGAATCTCAGATTCTGAGGATAACATAGAGAAAATAAACACTCTGATCAAAGAAAACAGCAAGTCCAACAAACTCTCATCACAAAACATTCAGGAAATATGGGACACAATAAAAAGACCAAACCTAAGAATAATTGGAGTAGAAGAAGGAGAAGAAGTGCAGCTCAACGGTACAGAAAATATACTTAATAAAATTATAGAAGAAAACTTTCCCAAACTGAAGACAGATGTACCTATGAAGGTTCAAGAAGCATACAGAACACCAAATAGGCTGGATCAAAAGAAAACATCCCCTCGCCATATAATAATCAAAACACAAAATATACAGAATAAAGAAAGAATATTAAGAGCCGCAAAGGAAAAAGGCCAAGTTACTTATAAAGGTAAACCTATCAGACTTACACCTGACTTCTCTATGGAAACCATGAAAGCCAGAAGGTCCTGGATAGATGTTCTCCAAAAACTAAGAGACTACGGA